GGCGGCACGGCGTTTCGGTCCACGGCTTGCTGCCGCCGCCGTCGCAGGGGTGCTGCCTGCGGCGGCGGCGGCACGGCGTTTGGGTCCACGGCTTGCTGCCGCTGCCGCCGCCGCAGGGGTGCTGCCTGCGGCGGCGGCGGTAGCGCACGTGGCGACCCCCCGCGCTTCCTTGCCTCCCATCCACCGGACCCCGTCCTGCTCATTGCTCATCGCACACTGCTCAACGCTCATTGCCCTATATCCCACCCAGCCGCAGGACTCCACTGCCGCCCGCGCCCCGCCCCATCTGGCCGCTTGCGCGCCCCATCCCCCCTCGATGGGGCCCGCCCACACCGGGGCCTCCCCCCTCCCGCCCACTGCTTTCTCAACGGCCCCGAGCCGGGGCTGCCCTCATTGCATACATAGTGCGCCTTTCCCTGCTTTTCTAGTGACCTAGCGTTCCGCACTGCCGTTTGGCCAGCCCATGCTCCCGTACTGTTGCGTTTCTCCCCAATGCGCCATGCCACTTTGCCAGTCATACACACGTTTCGATGCGTGCCCTGTCAGCTGCTTGCGTTGCATGTCGCCTTGCTCCACCCCTGTTTTATTGCTTTCTCTGCTTTCGCCCGGTTCCCGTCCCGTTTCGGCGGGGAGTCTATGTTGCAAGCTAGTTCTTGCTTTACCAGACTTTAAACCTACACAAGCAAGCAAGCAAGCGCTCGGCCACGGCGGCGACAGTCCAGGCAGCCGGGCCCCTCGGGGCGGCGTTGTGGATGTAGGAGGCGCCGCCTGCGCGGCAGAAGGCACCGGCAGGCAGGTAGGCTTGCAGTGCAGAAATGCAACAATGTTGCCAGCATGTTATACTGCGAAGCATAGCGTGCGCTGGCACAGGCCAGCATGGCAAGCAGTGTCCCCACCGTTGACGCCACCGCTCAAGTCTTGCAGCGACATCCAGGTGATGTTGCTGAAGGGCGGTACCGTCAGATACTTGTACGGATCCTGGTACAGGTAGCTGTCGCTGTCCAGCAGCCTGCAACGGCACGAGGGCGGCAGCAGATAGGTAAAGGTAAAGGTAAAGGTGGGGAAGAGCCTCCACAAGTTTAACTTCCCGGTTTTAACGTCTAGCTTTAGACCATTATTTGATCTGCCCGACGCGCCAAGTGCAGTACCCCCCACTAGTATGGGTCCCGGGGAGGCCTGTGCCGAAGCCTTGGCTGGGCTGAGGGAGGAGTATGCTGAGCTCTTCCACAGTCCCGGCCACTCCTTGCCCTCCCTGGCCGCCTTCCTCGGCCAGGCCAGGCAGGGCCGGCTGGCCCGGTTTGCCGACCGGTGCCATGAGGAGCATGCTGCTGCCCTGGCACAGTGACTCCCCCGGTTCCCTTGAGTAGGGCCCAGGCATCTTTTGCCCGGCCTTGGCTCCCGACCCACCCCCTCCCCCCGCAGGTAAGAGCAGCGTCAGCGTCAGCAAGCAGCGGTCAGCGGCACCCCCACCACCCCCCACCACCACCTCACACACTCACTGGCCCTTGCGCGATGGTACGCCGGCATGTTGGCATGGGAACGCCAAGCCCGGCACAGTAGCGGCGGCTGATTGAGTAATGGCACAGCCGACCGCCGCGGCAGGCCACTTTGCACTCCTGCCTGCAATGCATGCACCCTTACATGTGCAGCCTTCTGGTATTTTCATGTGCCTGGGAGATGTGCGGGCATGGGGGCCCATGTGCCCCATGCCATTTGAGTGCCCGGCGGCGGCGCTGCCTGCCGCCGGGAGCCCGCACCAGCATCGGCACCCGTCGGCCTGGCAGGCCTAAGGTGCTAAGGATCCCCACGTCCCCCACCACGTTGTGGGGGTTGCGTGTCCGGCAGGACGGGGAGCGGGGCCAGGGTTGGGTGACCCTGGGACGCTCAGCTGGGGGGAGGGTGGTCGGAGCCATGGAGAGGGTGCTCCATGGTCCACCCCCTCTCTTGATGCCCCTTGATCACGTGTGCCCCCTGCCCAAGGTCTGCTCACGCGGCCTATCATAGCGGGGTGACTGTAACACCTGGTTGGCGATTCTACTAGGCGTTCCCGAAGGAATTGGCTTGGATTGGCGCTGAGCCGGTCAGCTATGCCGCGTTTGTCCTCACAAAGTTTCGACATGGGAGGAATCGAACCTGTGCCCTCTCGGAGGGTTTAGACACTAGCTCCAGCGCCTTCAAAGAAGGCCTTTCTTAGCCGCAGCAGAAGCGGATGCGAATGCCAACACCTCAATCAAGAGCAGGGATGCTCCGGGATGCAAATGCAGCAGCACGGGAGCAAGCTGTGAACTGAGGGCGAGCACCAGGGCGAGCACCGCCAAATCACCACATGTTGTGCCCATTCCAGACCGCTCGGGCCAAGAGGATGTAGCGCACTGCCCACAGTTTGACTGCATGGCACAGGGGCAGCGAGGTGTGTTGCAGAGGGAATGGGGCCCCGCAGTGGCTCAGCCACCTTGTGGGAGAGTGATGCAATGGCGAGGTTGGGTGGGAGGCGAGCCGAAGGACAGCAACACAGATCAGGTGTTACAGTCACCCCGCTATGATAGGCCGCGTGAGCAGACCTTGGGCAGGGGGCACACGTGATCAAGGGGCATCAAGAGAGGGGGTGGACCATGGAGCACCCTCTCCATGGCTCCGACCACCCTCCCCCCAGCTGAGCGTCCCAGGGTCACCCAACCCTGGCCCCGCTCCCCGTCCTGCCGGACACGCAACCCCCACAACGTGGTGGGGGGCGTGGGGATCCTTAGCACCTTAGGCCTGCCAGGCCGACGGGTGCCGATGCTGGTGCGGGCTCCCGGCGGCAGGCAGCGCCGCCGCCGGGCACTCAAATGGCATGGGGCACATGGGCCCCCATGCCCGCACATCTCCCAGGCACATGAAAATACCAGAAGGCTGCACATGTAAGGGTGCATGCATTGCAGGCAGGAGTGCAAAGTGGCCTGCCGCGGCGGTC